CTCTCATATGATTAACTTATGAATAGATAATGATGCCCTTAGGCCAATGTGGTTGGCTAGTTTGAACTTAAGCTAACATTAGAGTCAAGCCATGAATATTTGATGTTGGGCATTATTGATAATGTCTTTAATGGCAATAAATTGTAGATTCTGTACTATTAAAGTGTTAGGGATGAATGAATGAAGTTTTGACAGTCAAACTAGCAAAAATAATTTTGAATAGATTCATTATCTTTAATTTTTTATTGTTTAAAAATATTGATACTTTCTTTTTAATTTTTTATGAAGAAAGTCTTGTTCATATGATAATTTTGCTAAAAACATGCCACAAAATGGCCAAATATGAAAGTACTAACTAGTTAAACAAATACAAAGCCTTTAAGATTATTTACATTATAATGAGGGCGCATTATGTGTTTGGAGATCATGGTGTGTTGTTTTTATTAATAGTCATTTGAAGGATATAGCAAGGAACATCCTAGTTATTGGTGTCTTCAGTTGTGCAGTAGCTTCCACCAACCCAAGCGCCCTCATGCATGCAGTGTTTGGGCCGCCCGTAGCATGCCAGTTTGACACAAATTGGTTAGCTCTCTATTGAACTTCTTAGATTAAATGGTTCAAAGCCTTCTAGGGCATCAGTTTTAAGCTTTTTTTGTGTATATGAATTTTCTAATGCATCAGTTATTGTGATATGATCTCTATGCCCTTTTGAGCTCATTCGGCTGAGCTATAGTTTGGGCCTAAGCGCCAACTGGTCCAATCCACTGAATTAGTTTTCTTGCCTTGCAAAGAGGAGCTGCAGCCTAGACCTGCCTTTATTAACTTCTTGAAGTTAAAAAGTTTATACTATAAACTATTAGCTTTTGAAGTCCATCGATTAATTTATCCCATTTCTCTACATGGAATGTCTTCTCATAACCAATTACTTTCCCTCATCGATCCGGACCGTAACTGATCTACGGTCCGGATGTATTTCGATGGGCCCCACCTAAATTTAAAAAAAAAACAGAAATAATCCTGACGGTCAGGATCGGACACCGCATGCATAGATGCATGCGGTATCCGTACGCAATAGTTTCTCCATCTTGCTAGAGCACTTGCATTATTTAATTTGAAGTACTTAAATGATTCAAAACTTGGTTTTAATCTTATCCGTACCCTTAACCATTTAAGTTTATATTTTGTATATCTAACTTATTAATTATTTAATGATAATGATTTTATTTAGTGTTATTTAATTTTTGTTAAGTGCTTTATATATTATACATATATTAGTTAAATCATGATGAAGATTGATGATGATTGCTTCCACTAGATTTACTTGAATGTTTTTTTTTTTCTTAAAGATGAGCTAAAATAGTGAATCAAGACACTTTAAGGATGTAGTTAAAAATGAGGATTTTAAGGAAAAATTTAGGGTATTTAGGTTTTTGATTGTAAGATTGAGTATATAGTGTAGCCTAAAATATTTCAATGATGATGAGCATGATGATTAAAAATATAATGATTATTTTATGCAATGAATGAATTTATTATGAAATATTATGACTTATTATATGATGAATAAAGGAATAATTCTAGTTTTAAATGTCAAAATGATGTTGGACATCAACTCCCTCCACAAGCTTTAGTCTTTTTCAGGCTTCAAGCTTTATCCCTATCATGAGAGGGGTGAGACTCTATTTATTCAATTCTGATTGTAATTAATGAAGAAATATGAATTATCTGATCAGATAGCCTAAAGAGATTTTCTTAATCTGACGGCGTTTGATGGACATTTGAATATCGTAATCATATCGTAATTGAGCTGTCTTGGGCTCGTTAGATTCTTCATGTCAAGACGTTTGATTCGACCATAAGCTCACCAGATTCAAAATTGTGTGGTCTTGGGCTCTCTATATTTGTCTTGTCGAGACGCTTGTTGGAAAGCTTTTAAAATTAGTTTAATGGCTTGATCGATGCTTGATTTGGTTCTAATTAGACCAATTTTGGTATCATAGGGTCCGTCTCATGATTAGTCAGTTTGAGTGCAAGTTTGTTGAAATCGGAGCTCTTGATAACTCTTAATCGGTGTTTGAATATTTTTTACTCAAAAAATTTTCTAAATATGTATTATGCCTCGAAATTCATACTAAATGTTAGAAATTTGTTGATGATTATCAATATGTATACAAGTATATATAAGTTGCCTTTAATATTTTTCAGGCCGATGCTAATCTAGCACCTGCCATAAATTATGGGACCGAGCCCATAAATAAAAATGATTTTTAAATTATCAATTAATTTGTGGGTTATCCTAAACGGTATGGAGTAAAGAATAAATTTGAAATTTTCATTTTTTTTAAATGTTGTATTAAAAAATGATAAGAACAATTTGTTAAACGGACAAAATCACAGTAAAATCCTCCTCTCCACGTTTTTACTTAATTATTTTAAAATCTCAACTAAAATATTGCATCCGGACACAAGGAAATAAAGTCCAATGAAATCAAGTCACGTTGTAGTGATAAAATAAAATCTGTCCGGTAACACAAAAAAATATTCCTCCTATGTTATTCAGGTGTTACTGTGTGGTATTCACGTTATTGTGTGCTATTCAAGTGTTATTGATGTGTTATTGTGTTATTATAACACCGAGAATATTTCCATAACACAATAACACCTGAATAACATATAATAACAACTGAATAACACTGAATAATACAGAGGAATATTCTTATGTGTTACCGGTCCGAATCTTTTTTTTTTCTGTCACATTCACGTGACGTGATTTCATTGGACTCTGCACGTAGCATGAGGATTACACCTCCTCCTCCAACACATTTAAAATAGTTGGAATCTCAATAAATCCAACATATGCCGAAACAAATGATGCACTAAAAATAATGTATAGAAAATGTTTGATCAGCTATTTTTGCACGGGTTTTTGGAATTTTGAGTCGCAAAAAATATAAAATAAAGAAATTAAAAATTTCATAAACAATTCATGAATTATTTGAATATTGTCACATTTCTTGTATTTTTATTTAATCCAAACGAAATCTCTCCCAATTTACATTCCAAGATATGTTGGAATTTTTGAAGTAGGATACACTGCTTGAATTTAATTAGAATGACTTTTTCTATATATTAAGCTTATTTAAAATAGATGTAAATATTCAAATGCCAAGATTTTAAAAGAAGCATATTTATAAGTAGAATATGGGGAAGGAGTTCCTCGAAAATAATAATAATAATAATAATAATAATAATAATAATAATAATAATAAAAGGAGCATATATTAAAATTTCACTTTTTTTCATAAAAGGCCCCCTTGGAGGCGTTTCTTGTAAAATAATTTTTTTTTAAAATGTATGATATTTTATTGTTGTAATATAAATATTAATATATATTAAGTATTATTATAAGTAGATTTTATAATTATTCTTTAGATTAATGAAAATATTAAATTTATTAATTATTTTTTAGATTAATTAAGATTTAATTAATCATTTTTTAAATAATTGAACAAAATGAATTAACAAACAAAATATTTCTTAAAATTTATTTCATATTAAAAATATTATCGTAATAAAATGTTTATAAGAAAATAATTTCTTCTTTGTCGGGATGGAAAGACGCTTGAGCTCAGTATGTATCGAGATGGTGGTCGCAGTGGTTGGTATCGCAACTGATCTTCTTGAAATTTTTTTTTGAGATTATCGTCTTCAATTGTCTCTTTCGTAGTTTGTTGTGTCATCCAACAATTTTCTTCACTGAGACTTGGTATTGAAAAAAA